TTGCGTTTATAAGCCTTACAATGGCATACACGCCGTCGCTGCAAAGCCGACATAGGGGTATCTCTCTTTCTCTCCCTTCCCATTCCTCTTTCTCCCCGCGTGATCTTCGAACATATAAGCAAAAGTGTTAGGCTCAAGACTGTCGAGTCGATTATTTAGGACTCAGAATTCCGTCAGTGGCCAGTTCCTTGAGGTTATTACAAAACGAGTTCAAAATAAGTAGCTTCAAAAGAAGACGCAAGAAGTTATCAGCCAAAGGAGAAAAAAAAAAAGATCGCTTATACGAAGGGATGGGGCCTACACACAACGGCGCTGAAGAAAGTAGCTCCGTACACTACGTATAGAACGAACGGACGAAAGAATGGGAAATCCCGGGGCAAATTCTCTTCAAAGCCTCAGGCATACCGGATAGGCAGCAACGCAGGTCAGGAGAAGACTGTCCCTAAGGCAAAGACGTTGTGCCGCGTGGTTCAAACTCAAGCAGTGGCGGCTTCTCAGACCTGATAGGCGTATACATTTTGTACAGTGCGTTGGGCTGTTTTTACTATTACTGTTTTTATTTTGTATATTTCGTCGTTCCTTCGAAAGCGGCGAGGCAGTGATGTCCGGCACAAGGAAAGAAGGAGGGAGGTGTTGTCATGTGTTCGTAGATTATCGGACGTCACTGAAGGATTTAACGCCAATAGAGGGGAATAAAGAAAAACGCCGCTCAAAGCAAGCGTGGTTTGCCGCCGCCGACAACGCTGTAGTACATAGAAGGGAACGCTTCACCTCACAGGGGGCGCTTTTGCAGGGTTCGGCGGCTCAAACGCCGATGTATGGTGGTTACCGTATATACAGGGACCCTTAGTGTATACACGTGGCTAGTCAATAGCAGGCTTTCATGAGCCCGTTCAATTCTTCGGCCGCGCTCGCTGTACACTAACTGCAGTGTATAAAGCGTAGTAATACGCGTTTACGGGCGCAAGGTCGGCGAACACACACACGCACGCATACGCAGTGACCGGTGCCCTTGCAAAGTGGAGCCCGGGTCGGTCGCATTCGTCAACTGTACGCAAAGGGATATCGGGCAGAAAAAAATAGGGGGGTGGGGGTGGAGAGGAAGAGAGTATGGCAGCGTAGCGAGTGTAATGAAGTGGGACAGGCTTCCCGGGAGAGGGTGTCTAAAGAAAGAGAAGCGGGGAAGGTGAGGTAGCTTTCGAAGGACATAATAAAGACAGAGAAAGAAAAAAGAAACGGGGTAGTTAAATAAGGATGGGATGTAAAGGGGGCATCGACAAGCAGAAGGGGGCACAAATCGGTGAGGAACACTGTATACAGAGGGCGCGCACCTCGCCTTCCCTGCCGGCAGTAGGAGCCGGCGAGCCCGCTATGTACACAAGCACAAAAGCCGATAATCCAGTGGGGATCGGCCGTCCCGGTCACACAATCGGATCAGGAACCAATTGTCGGTAAAAATGGGAACCCGAGGGTCGTTGGAAGAAAGAAAGGGGCTCCCGCGAGGACCTAGTAGGGATGCCAGAGAGGGGGGAGTGTGCCGGCTTTATTATTTGCGGTCGCCGCGCCGCGGCGCTCCGCGCGCTGAGAGTGTTCGGACGCAGCGCGGCAGGCTCCCGACCAAATATTCGGCCGTGCTCGCGCGTACGCCCGCACGACTGCGGTGATGGCGTACGCCGGGTCGTGTGTGCGTGTGTTTGTAAGAGGTACGCCGAGCGCTGCTCGTGTACTCGCTTCGAGAATGCACGAAGTTAGTGCGCCCTCCGCCGACATCGGGTGCCGCAGTCACCGCCGCACCGTTTTGTCGTCGAGTCCCCCCATCGCGAGTGTATATTTGACTTGCAAATGAACCTTCGTTTGCATCGCTTCTCTTCGCAGCCTGCGCTTTTTTTTAAATTAGTCTCTCTGTAACGAACTGCAACAATTCGCAAAGTATTCTCGGTGTTGCAGACTACCTTTATTTATATTTTTTTTACGTTGTCCTCTACTTCATGACTTTCTTGAATTGACCGGAAGCTTTCTTTTCTAACACGGCGTGCCATTAAAGCGAAAGTCACTGTCTAATTAAAAAGTTTCCAATCAGAGCAAACACCTCGACACGAACGCAAACTCTAACTTGGAACTGTGACGAGTCTTGATGAGGCGTCTTTGTCAAACTATGTTTGCTTCGTAGCTAATATACATTGTAGTGTAATGACTAACTTCATGTTTACGCTTGTCAAGCTTGTTCTTGCATTTTATTTCTTAATTTACATAATCACTCCTTGTCTGTCAACATCAGTTTGTCATGGCACATCAACCGTGTGAATCGAAAACAATTACTACACCTGTAATGACATTCTTTGTGTTCGCCTTTCGAAAATTGCCACGGAAGTTGTGCGCATCGTAAGGTAGACGGAACAATTGCCGGCTTTGTATAGCAGGCTAACCACACTTGCTACATTACCACCACGACCACCCCCATCATTGTAAATCAGGCTTCTTCTTACGCATTTTCGTTACGCAAGAAAAAAAAAACAAGCTTTACATGGGCACCTGCAAATTCTAGTTTTTGTTGCTGACAAATGCCTCCTGATTTGAATAGTCATAAGCTAGTTCACATGGGTGGCAGGTGATCACACCCCTTAGATAACTAGGGTGCTCCCCCCCAGCTCATCTAAGAAGGGGTGACGTATTCGTCTGCACATGAGCACCGAACAAGTGCACGCCCGCAGTCATGACCCATACGTGGCCACCGTGAATGGCAATCGAACAAGCAGATTTGTGCTCAACAACTTGATGCCACGAGCGTGGTTTTCTCCGTATACGTGCGATATTTTAGACATAATCGTGCATTATACCAGGTGAGCCGCATCGCAAGCTCCTCGTATCGTATGTTTCAGTTTTGACCAAACAGATGAAAGTGCATTATATACTATATATAATGCATTATATATATATATATATATATATTGCATTATATTGCATTATACATTGAAAGTGCATTATATATATATATATATATATATATATTTATATATATATTCATCCGCCTCTCTAGGGAACTTCCATTCGCCGAAAGGCGACATGGCCGCTCGTGACAGAGCGTAGTAATGCCCTGTAAGCCCACACTAGCGCCGCCTATAGTGTTTCGCAGGCCGCTTTCAATGTTTGCACGATGCTCGCGGCGATACCCACTCGGGGTTTCGCCGAGCCGCTCGCTGTCAGCGCACTGTGCACACACGCGAGAGTAGAAGCGTAGCAAATAGGGTGATTCGAGAGCTGGACAGGAACAGGAATGAGATGAGGGCCAGAGGGGACGCAACAGATGGATGCCGAAAACCGACGACAAGGGCGCGTTCCCGCCGCCGGCTGATCTACATTGCAAATGGAGGGTTGCTTTTGGGGATGCTTCGTCCGCTAACCCCCTCCTGTACTTCAATTTCTTTATTTTTTCCCTTGTTTTCTTTTGCGGCGATGCTGCGCTCTTTCACCCGCTTTTATATGTTTGTATTGCGACCTGTATAAACGTGCGTTGTTTGAGCTGTCACGTCGTGGGTGGATATACCTAGGTTGAAGCAGCATGCTCGAGCTGTCCTTCATGCATCCTGCAAGTCTCGCTTGTCTTTGTCAATGAGTTTTTCTACATCTTTGTTGTTGATTTCTTTCCCTTTTTTTCTTTCAAAAAGAATCACCTTGAAAATAGTTGACTTCCTCTTTCTTTTGTTCTTGTCAACCTGGCATATATAGACATATACAAATAAAGGAAAATCAGGTAGCTTAACTGGAATTAATAAGGTAAAAACGAAAGGAAAGTGGAGAGAACAGCTTCAAGCTGTATCAACGGTACAGTGGATGAGGCGTCCTATAGAGAGCGATCGAGAGAGGTAAAGAAAGAAGTGATGTTAATTGAAATCGTCAAGTATAGGAAAACGTAGAGGAGCCTTGGATCCCCATCATACTCCTTGACTGTCTCTCGGGATCCCCTGGAAGTAGGCGGCAGTCTGGGGTAGACTGGTGACTTAATTGTCATTGAGTACCTCCTTTTTGGTATCTATCTGTCTCGTCAATGCTGGGACACGTTCAAAATGCGTCGTCTAAATCCATTATGTTATCACAGTGCCTACATTCAGGAAACGCCATTTGATTAGTTGTGGTTTCGGAAACACTTCCATTTGCAGCTTCGTGCGAGAAAGAAAAATATCGTGTGAGGAGCAAGATAATTGTGGTATCTCTATAGTCAGCTATGTAAATCACACGCCGCTTTTGAAGTCGCCAAGTATCACACTTTCGCTTATAAATAGGGGCCTGAAATTCCGCGTTGTATAGTCGCAACTGCTTCAACAAACGAAGGTTTCAGTGCGTCTGGTGTGCTATTGCTTATGTTATGCTCAGCCCATACAGTGTAAAGTAGAAATCTCGGGGATTACTTCTCACTTTCACACGGCATCTAATATCATCGCTCACGTGACCTGGTCGTTGCCTCACGTGACCTGGCCACGTGACCTGGCCATCAGCATAAACACCACGCAATATCACCATTACACGTCTACAACATTCAAAAAGAGAACTATGTTCTCTCACGTACACGCTTGAAGCTACAAAAAAAAAAACAGAGTGGGTATGTGAGTTTTCGTCATCTTTCATGTAGCTTTTGGGCGCTGATCGGTATATTAGATATCAAAATTAATTTTATCACGAGATAAGACATGTACCCTCGCAAATATGTTGTCTTCCAACGTTCTTTGTTGTGCCGCACTGAATGACGTCCAATCTCCCTGCCGACTTTTGTGCGTACGTCACATGGTCTATTATTTATTTTCTGTGAATCTTGAAACTCCACTGTTTCGCATGGTCACAAGAAGTTTTGCAAATGGCGATATGATAGAAATTCCGCGCACAGTTTCTTATGTACGTGCGAGTAATGCGTGTAACCATGTTTTTTTTTCAATAATTGATTAAGCATTTCTTTCCCCTGACGCAGATGGAGAGATGCGAGGCGTAACAACCGACACCAGACGGCCATGGGCGAACCACTACCGACTAGTCAGGTGGGCTCCGACTCGGAGTTGGACGTCGAAGATGACGACGAGGAAGACTGCGTCAGCACACAGCCGTCGTCGTCAACAGCCGCCGCCAAGAAGGCCGCCAACGCCCTGGGCTTCTCCATCGCTCGCATCATGGCTCCGGACAAGGCGCACCGAAGTAGTGCCTCTTCGGCCACCACCTGTTCTCTCACGGCGATGCTGCACGACTGGCGCCGAAAGCTGCAGGCCTCGGGGGCTTCCTGGTTCAGGCCCTCCTCTCTGCCGGACGGTGGCCCTCACCACAACGCGCTAGTCGAGCGTCAAGACTCGACCCTGGCCCTGGGCATCGCCACGACTGCTCTGAGTCAACTGGCCAGGCTACATCACGGCGGTAGCGGCGGTGCTCTCGTCTACCCGTGGCTACAGCAAGCCTCCGACGTCATCTCCTCCTCAACTCCTGGAGGAGCGTCGGTGTTGCCAGACGTCGCGACCCATGGCGAGCAGGTGACCGCGAGGCTGGTGCGACCTCAGCCACGCCTGGCGACCGCGGCGGGTGAAGTCCTGAAGCACTCCAGGCTGCAGGAGTCGGAAAAAGCCAGAGGATTCGCCGCAGGCGGCGCGCCCAGTGCTAGCGGAGCCAACAATAAGCAGAAGACTTTCACGTGCACCGAGTGCGGGAAGGTGTTCAACGCCCACTACAACCTGACTCGACACATGCCCGTGCACACGGGCGCCCGGCCTTTCGTGTGCAAAGTGTGTGGCAAGGGCTTCCGGCAGGCCAGCACTTTGTGTCGCCATAAGATCATCCACACCCAGGAGAAGCCGCACAAGTGCGCTACGTGCGGCAAGGCGTTCAACCGCAGCTCGACGCTCAACACGCACGTTCGCATACACGCGGGCTTCAAGCCCTGGGTATGCGAGTACTGCGGCAAGGGTTTTCACCAGAAAGGAAACTACAAGAACCACCGGCTCACGCACACGGGCGAGAAAGCGTACAAGTGCAGCGTGTGCAACAAGGCCTTCCACCAGGTGTACAACCTCACCTTCCACATGCACACGCACAACGACAAGAAGCCATACACGTGCAAGGTGTGCGGCAAGGGGTTCTGCAGGAACTTTGACCTCAAGAAGCACTCGCGCAAGCTTCACGAGAGTGTCGTCGCGTCCAGCACAACTCCGTCGCGCCGACCGTCGCCCGCCGAGACGGTGGCGAGGTTCCAGCAGCTGCACGCTCCGTTCGTAGCGGCATCCGGCATCCTCGTCGACCGCGCCATGATGCCCGCCGCACTCCTCTGACCGACAGCAGGGTCATTTAGGCGCGGCCTCCGGTGTCGTTCTCAAGCATAATTCCGGCTGCAGTGTATTGTGATTCCGCGAACGACCTGACGTATGAACTTCAATCGAAATACTCGTGCTCCGAGATCTTTAGCGCGCTTGGGTTTCCGCAAGACGTTTTGAAGGCCATGACATACTTTCCTCGCAACGTTTTCTTGCAGTTTCTGAGGCCCAGCTTTGGTCGTGCATATCATTAGCATACACTGTGTCATGTAGTGTCATGCAACCTGTGTAGCAAAACATGCAGAAGACATCACGGCACCTGAAACGAATGATTGTTGTGAATGTATATAGGAGCCTGTTAGATGCTTATATCCTCAATATTAAGGCCGAGTCTCACAGAATCGTATCGCGGACTACTGCTTCAGGCATCGACATTGCCGGGACAGCGCTACGAATTACGAATGTATTTTGCTGACCCACGTAAAGTCTAGATAATTGTTATACTTGAGCTAAGGGTCGTTCTTCGCCGAATGCCGTTCCTTGAGTGGGTGCAGTGTATGCCAGGGCAAATCAAGTGCTTGCGGGATGGTAGCCGTGTGTAGCTCTACATGTGCCCATGTTGGTGCGCCTGCATGAGCACGCAACTTGTTGAATTGATCTATATAGGTGTACAGGTGAACTTCTCAGTTAGTCATAATTAAGACAGATCAAGATAAGTGTATGTGTTAAATATGCGCTAAATTGCGTTGCAGCATTTCTGGTACGGTCTCATGGGAAAGTTTTTCGTGCCGTTATCTGGTGCGGCCGTGCCGATTCGACGCAGTATCGACGTGCCAAAAATTTGAATGGGGCGTATGGTAGTACCTCGGGGAGTTCTATGGTGTACATCTGTACAACTGTATGGTATACGGTGTGCTTGTAACATTTAGTAACTCATTCTCACTAGCAGGGCCACAGTACGTACTCATCGAGGATTATATTTACTTTCGGCATTGCTAGCTGCCTCAAAAGAAACGCACAGGTAACCTAGTTATGCCTTTAAATTGAACTTTTATTGATAGTATTGCACACAAAATGTGCATCTTGGCTATACATGTGCCCCATAGAGGAATACTACGAAGCTGGTGAACATGTAGAGGGTTACGGACAGCCACAGCGAATCAACAATGTCGACGTGCACACTAACAGAAAAGCCACATGAAGCTTGTATTCTGTATGCTGTAATCAAGATGTACGCGTCTTCAGACTTCGTGCGATTATTACTATAGGAGTAATAACACTGCTGTCAAGGTACCGAAACATTCACAGGCACCTTCAGAGCGTTTCCAACCGAGACCGTTTCTGCGTCCCGTTCTAAGTCACATCCTCCCGGGGTGATGAAACGACACCACATTAACGTACAAGTTGGGGATAATTCTAACGGTGTTCTCACTGCTGACTATGTGACCCGATTTATTCACTCGCTGCGTTCAATGGGTTTCTCGTTATTCGCAATGCCATATCTTTTCTTCCTCACTGATGACGGGGTTAAATGGACTTAACTAAATACCGTTAAACTCCCTAGTAAAATAACTCGCCACGCTGGTCTAGTGGTTGTGGTGCTTGATTGGTGACCCGAAGGTCGCAGGTTCGATCCCAATCGTGGTGGTCGCATTTAGATGGAGTCGAAATCCTTGAGGCCTGTTTTGGATGCACGTTGAAGAACACCGGATGGTTGAAATTTCTGGAGCCCTCCGCTACAGCATTCCTCAAGACCATATAGGGGCTTTAAGAGATAAATCTACAGCAGCTATACAGCAGCTATACAGCAGCAGATAATCAGCGGGAATTCATTCCTTTGGAAAGCACAACAAGGCGCCTGATGTACTTTACTTTCAATACTGTGGATATCACTGTAAAATTAGAAACGAATATTCATTGTCAGAAAAGTATCAATCCTCCCCGACAGATGACGCTGTACGTGACTCACGACTAGGGTTACTGTATATTCTACCTTTTAGGTAGTAAAGGTAGCATATAAAATAACTCTATATACTCACGACCGTTCAATCTGCAACGCAACAAGCGTCAGGGCTTCGCAGTTTGACCATTGCGACCACGCCCTTATACTTCTGGGCGCGAAAGTTTCCCTTCCTTCACTACAATGCATTATAATTTATACCTGGCTAGCGTGGTAACCGTAGGAGTGTAGAGCAATAAAGGTATATATATATTCCAAACCCTCAAAAATAAGTACATGGTAATTATTCCAAAACATACCGTGAAAAAAAAACAAGAAAATGGCACGAAGATCGGATGGAAAAAGAAAAAAAATCAAAGCTTTTTTCGAATGATATAAAAAACAAAAAAATGTAGTGGCCTCTAAAATAATGTGTGCACACCTGTATTATTAGAGCCACTGCCACTCTGGTGTCCAAATTAACGAAGATTTCGATTCGTAAGAGTTTTTGCCATTGGCCAAATTCCTTGACAGTTACATGTTCTTCCTTCTTATCGGTTGGCACTTTCTCTTGCGAAATTTTTTATGCATAGTGTAAGAGTGTCCCACTTTTTTTTAGAATACAGGCTAAAGTCTGTAACCTGTATACAGTTCTTCTAATGCAATAGCTCCTCTGCAATAAGGACAGTTTGCCGATATTGTACATAGTGCTGTATAGAATAAGTCAATTGTGAAAACAGTGTAGAATAGGCATGTTATTTATTGAAATAATAAAGAGAAATACTGACGATGAACACGACTGTCAATTGTTTCCCACTACAACGGTGTCCTACAACAGTACGTGGACTGCTTTCTTGTCAACCATTTCACCGACCACATGTGAAACAATGTGACGCTTCGGACGTCCGTATAAAGCTAGGTCCCTTCACAAATTTATATAACCAGAAAGCGAGCAGACGATCCGAGCAAATATAGCGAGTTTGTTTCGTTTTTAATTATATGGTCAGTCACCTGCTCCGTCCTTTTATAAACTGGACTCCCGTCGTATTTCGAAGAAATATTGACCAACATGATGCGTGTCTTGCATGTGCATACACATGTTTTTTTTTTACGGATCATAAGCACATGCACATCCCATGCACACCTAATACAGGTGAGTGTCTGATGTATACTGATCGATTGCCGTGAGAACTCGTGCCATGCTAAAGCACATCATCAACCGGGTGTTTAACTTATCATGCTCGACTGCTGACCCGACGGTCGCTGGATTGAATCCCGGCGACGCCGACCGGATTTTGGTGTGCTTAGATTTGGGGACATGCTAAATAAAGCCCAGATGGCCGTAACTTCCGGAGTCCTCCGCTACGGCATCTCTCATAAGCATACCGTGGTTATTGGACGTAAAACCACAACAGATATTATGCTATTCACAATCTGCACAAATGACTAGACAGCGACAAGAGGATCCGAACAAACGTTGACAAGTCATTTTGTTTTGATTACATGGTCAGTGGCATGCTTGACTCCTTTAACCATCATTTCACCAGTAGTACCGTGGTATTCTGAAGAATTAGCTACCAACACCTTGAGCATGTGCAGTGAATATACTATCATCTCGTGTATTTTATGGTATGGAGAGTTTTATACCAGCGCAACACAAAACTTTTGCGTTTGTGTTGCGCATGCATCGTACGCTAACCTCTTGCGGGCTCTCGTTAAGTGACGAACGCTAACGCTATACGCCCACAAGTTTTTCGTACGGTATTCTAAAACTATCTCATGGACATCCCGCGCGCATTTAATACAAGCTTGTACTCAGTCCAGGCAGTTATAATCAATCTTGCGAGGACTCCTGCTACATTAAAGCTCGTAACAGCGTGACAGCTAATGCCCTAGTAAAAGGAATATTGAAATGACGTCAGAGTGCGTAAGGCGTATCACTGTACGATTCATATCTTCCTTTGTAATTTTGGAGAAAAAAAATCGAGATAAGGAGGAGGAGGAATAAATGAGGAAGGACAAGGAGGTTAGCCAGTTCTCAGACCAGCTGGCTACCCTGTACTGGGGAAGGGGGTAAGGAGGATAAAGGATGAGAGAAAAGAGACGTTGTAAAAAAAAGAGAGAGAAGGTCATCAGACGATCCACGACGCTGTTTGCAGTCTGTCTCTAAGACCACTTGCCCGCAGAAAGCGCAACAACGCTCTCAATGCCTTGCGTGCAGAGGACGGTCTCGGCCAGTGTCCTAATACCCTTTCTTCCGACAATTGGCGATTGTCTATTCTATCTAAAGCTTTTGACAGTTCTTTTCTTGGCACGCTGAAGCGGGGACACTCGCAGAAAAGATGGGAGAAAGCCTCTGCGCAGCCACAGTTGTCACATGTCGGGCTTCTGGCCATTCCGATTAGAAACGAATAAGCATTCGTAAATATAATCACAGCTTATCCCTGGGATGCCTGTGCAACACTATGGCAGCCTCCGTGGCGTAAGTTCGCGCATACTGCATAAGCATAACAGTTTTCTAAGCGCGAAAAAACAACAAAAATTAGCAGTTGTTCCGTGTACGAAACAACCGAAGAGCGAAGGTCCTTGAAAATTGGACACAAGTGACTACGCGCCTGATTTCGCTGCTGGCTTTGATAGCGGTAGAGTGGGAAGCGGGTGGGAAGAGCGTCTGCTACACTCGCCGTCGGGAAAGGCTGAGCGAGCACGATGCGCGCAGCGCAGCGCGAGCCAACCCAGGCAACGGACCAATCACTGGGTTGAGTGGAACACCGAAATTGCCACAGGGTGGAAGACGACAAGGCGAAGCGATGATTTCGCGCGTTCACCGGTTTGAGAGGAGAGGGCAGAGACAATGAAAGAGGGTAGCAAGTGGGAGAGGGCTACAAGCGGTGTTGCGGCGGGTGTACTTCGACGGCGGGGTGAAAGGAAACAGCTTCTTGCCGCCCTCGCTGTAAAAAGCAGTCGCAAGTTTGAGCAACCACGGTTTTAAGAAGCTGTTCTAGGTGAGCTGGCATTTTGCGTCATCTCACGGGCAATGAGAAAACAAGCCTCCGAGATAATGGAGCCAATCAGATAC